CATCAACAAAGAGGTAAAAAAGCTGAAATTTGCAATGGTCAGGATGAATCCAACCACTAGCCCTGAAAGAAACATATAAACATGGAGTTATAAAGAATCCATACATGAATGTGTGAAAAACTGTATTTTCAGGTATTTGCACATTATACATATAATGGACATTTTCAATACATTTGTGTTTTACTGTTAATACCAGGCAGTATATTGAATGTTAAATTGACTAAACTGATAAAGTAATTTTTTTGCCATATTTTGATCTTTCAAATGCTATGTGAATGTAAGATACTATTTTAGATACTTTTTATAATCAGGTTAGATAAATGAATAGTAGTGATTAATTACTTTTTCACCCTATAGTCTGGGATTTTTTTTTATTTTAAAAAAAGTAAATTTAAAAGCAAATAAGCTTTTTACACATTCCAAAGAACTTTCCCATGCTCTTTCTGAGGTTCATGATCTATGGTAAAGTAGTAGAGTTTTTCTTAGCTAAATTTTTCTGTATAAATTGAGGAAAATAATCTGAATGTGAAGTGCAACTAAAAATGGGAATATTCTATGAATGTGATTTTACATTTTTCAACTCTCCTCTCTGTTTAGATTTTGATCAGGCAAACAAATAATGGGGCATTCATGTTTTGAAGGGTGATCAATTTTAATGAAGGCTTATACAACTTGCCATTAAATCAGGTAATAAAGCCAGGCGTAGTGGCACATACCTGTAACCCCAGCCCTTGTGAGGCTGAGGCAGGAGGATTGTGACAAGTTCAAGGCCAGCCTGAGCTGTGTAGTGAGTTCAAGGCCAGCCTTAAATATCTAGGCAGACCATCTCAACAAACAAACAAACAAACCAATCAACAAACCAACCAACCAACCAACCAACCAGGAAATTAAAAAAAAGAACCTTATTCTACATGACACTAAAAAGGAAAAAAAATGGCAAAGAAGCACTTCTTGTTATCACAGCAATGTGGAAGAGGCCATTGAAATCAACTGCTAAGATAGGTGAATGTGCTTGAAACTTAAGATCTTGTGGATTGTATAAGAAAAGTTAGTAAATCTCCTCTCCAGGTAATTCCACACGAAAATGTAAACATTCCCTGAAACAGGTCTTTTGTGTTGTATTTTTTTTAAAGTCATACAGATAATCCTTAAAGGCCTTTGTAACAGAATTGTAAAATGTTCTTGTAAACAAAACTTAGTGCTAAAGTGTGTGTCTTCAGTCACACTGTCATGGCTGCCATGTCTGGAATTTGTTCAAAATGTTTGCTTTTCATGGTCATTTGGGGAAGAGCCAGAAGTCGGTGGTGTCAGACATGGTGACTAAGACAGATGAGGTTCTCACAAGTCTTTCTTTCCACTGGATAGCATCAGGCAGCAGCATTCACTCTATCTTTTCTATCACACTTCCTAAAGACCCTCATCAAACAGGACATACAGAACTGCTTCGCAAAGTGGCACAAATGACAGGGTTAAGTGTGGTGAAAACTTGCGGGGGATGGTGTTTTGAGGAGGGTTAAAGACAATTTTTTTTTCAGACAGTCTCATTCTGTAGTTCAGGCTGGCCTTGAATTTACTATGTAGCCCGGGCTGGGCTCAAATTCATGGCAATTCTGCTCAGCGTCTCAAGTGCTGGGATTACAGGCATGCGCGCCTGGCTGCATGTGTTTTTTACTGTGATAAAAATTTGAACGTTCACTACGTTTTGATTACCCGTTGTATTTATCACAAGGGTTAGTTAATCCTACAAAAGATGAATTAGAGTCAAAATATAAAAAGTTAAGTAAGCCATCAATAAAAATGGCAAAACACAAAATAGACGATTCTTTGAACACTAAGAATACACAGAATTCAATCACAGTGGCCTCAAGATACGATGTGCCAGCCCTAAGAACATCTTTAATTGAAGAAAGAATGTGTTAACAATGGAGGTAGTCTCTTTTAATGTGAATTATTTCTATAAGGCTTTTTTCCCCTTTTGTGGCACTGTCAGTTTGAGAATCTAATTACTCCAGTTTTCTTTTTTAATAGGGTGCTTGATGTTTCATCATCAGTCTGAAAGTACACATTCCCAGCCCAGTCCTCAGAGCGCCACATCTAGCAGCACTTAACGGCATCTTCACGTCACTGGAGATGTTAATTTTGATTACTTAGTCTTAAGGTACTGTGTAATTTTTCCAACATTAAGTTAACCTCTTTTCCTTTAGAATAAGAAGCTAACTATAGGACATATTTTAAAACTGCAAATATTCTGCCCCTCACCAAAAATCTCCCCTAGGTTTAGTATTTAGTTATGCTCCAGTCAGAACTGGATCCAGTTTCCTGACCCAATCTTTATAACGATGGCTGCAATGCTCATTGTCAACTCGAGCACTCCTCTCATACTGCCTGAGAAGCTCTTGGCATTCTAACATAAGCAAGATCGATCTTCCCTACTTTTAAAGAAAACTATTATCAGTATGGTCTCATGAACTCCTATTTTTTTCTAATAGCTTATATTACTGTACTTAATTTTTGGTTGTCAGATTGTCCTCGAATTGATCAGTAGGAGAGTCCTTGTAAGCTGGTTATCATCTTGTGATGTGACCCCATCTTTTTTTTTTTTTTATCATCTCCTTCTTTTCTGGCATAAATAGATATTCCAGGCTCATCCCAAATGTACTCTACCCAGCTCTAGAAGCAGCCCATTTCTCTCAGTAGCTCTCTGGTTCATTTTAGTTTAGTAGGCAGTGGATATTGAAAACCAGGATCTAGACTCTCAGGGTACTGAGCTACCTTTCACATGCGGACAGGGCAAATAAATACACATACAAATATAAACACATGCATAAAAATGTACATACACGCATGCATCTATTTTAGGAATTATAAGATCATGTGAATAACTTCAATTCCAACATATCCCCACAGATTCTTGTCTTCCCTTGTTTAGTATTTTTTTTTATACTAAGAACCTTAGCTCCCAAGCACACTGACAAATTCATCCAACTTCTCAGTCTATATTGTATCTACAACTGTCTTAGAATTGCTTCACCTAACTACAACAAAAAAAAACCTACTAGAAACAGTTTAACATTTGTTTGCAATTTTCCCTCCTTTTCACCTAAGATGGAGGATGTGTAATTAAAAACTGCAGTGTTCACAGAGTATTCCTTTTTCCCCTTTCCAGCATTCACAGTATTCACTTGAAAGGCAACTCATTTCATTGCAGTCTACTTTCAATTTTACATTTCTCCCATTTCTTACCCTTACTGATATAATTTTATTTTTAATTCAATATTTTATTATTTAGAATACTAATATACTTCTAAAAGTCAAACATACACAAAGGTACACTTAGAGAAATGTTACTTTGTCCCATCCCTCTATTTTTTGCCCTTCCTCAGCTTTTGTAGCTGCATTGTTCTCCTTTCCATCTGCTTATGTCATATTAACTTATTTTTATAAACACAGATTTACGCAAGTTTTTACCTTTCTCCTTCTTTTTCACCCAAAAAGTAGATTCACTATGTTTTTTTGTTTGTTTGTTTTGTTTTTTTCTTTTTGAGACAGGGTCTCACTATGCAGTTTAGGCTGGCCTTGAGCTCACTTTGCTGGCCTCAAACTCGCAACAATCCTCCTGCCTCAGCCTCCCAAGTGCTGGGATTACAGGTGTGCGCCACCACACCTGGCACCACTATGCTCTTTAGAACTCTTTAGCAAACTTTTGGTAATTTTATGGTCCTTGTTGAAGGGACAGAATGTGTTAATTTGGCAGTAAACAAGAATTTTTTTTTGTTAGTTTTTTTTTTTTTCCGGTACCAGGAATTGAACTCATGACCTTGTGCTTGCCAGGCAGGCGTTATGTGGCTGAGCTAAATCCCCAACCCCTTAAACAAGAAACTGACATTCTGCTTTATACACTGATCTCTACCATGTTTGCCTGATTTGAATCTAAATGTAAGAGAGCTTCCAGTGTAAAGGTCTGAAAACAAATCTAACTTCAGGTCTACGTTGTTGAGACTCATTTCCCTAGTACGTGATAACCATACCAAATACTATTATCTTATGCCGTCCTCTCAGGCTGTCTGATGTTATTCCCAGTTTTGTTTTTCTTTTCTTTTTTTTTTATGCCTGGGATGGTACCTAGGGCCCTGAACATGCTACCCATGTGTTTATCACCGAGTTACAGCCTAGCCCCATAGTTTTTCTATTTTATTTATACAGCATCACAAACTGTTCCATCCCTAACTTACGCTATGACTGACAATCTCTACTCTATGTAATTCCATGATAAATACATTCAGTTTTGCTTAATGGAGAATTTTGTTAAATAATGTATAAAGCAGAACTCTATTATACAACAAAGTATATAGTAAAGAATACAATGACATAAAATAATACTTTAACACTTATTTAGTAAATCTAATAAAGAGGTATTAAAAATAACAGCATAGTAAATGAGAACTGGGGGGCTGGGGATTTAGCTCAGCGGCACAGCGCCTGCCTGGCAAGCCCAAGATCGTGAGTTCAGTTCCCGGTACCGGAAAACAAAACAAAACAAAACAAAAAAAAAACCACAGTAAATGAGAACTGGGAGGTACATTCATGTTTCTGTAATAACCCTTTCCATTGCTTAGCTCAGGTTTAAGTATCATAACTGAGACAACAATGCAGAAATTCTTCTAAAGGTGCTCGATTACCAACATTTTACTTTAGTGCATTCTAACAGTGACTACAAGATATAGGATAAATATGGTATAAATCAATAATAAAATGTTTCACCTCTGGAATCAGTCTGGAGTTCACAGTTTGGCTTCTCCACTTGCCTCTGTATGACTTGATTCCTTAAGTACAATTCTTTTACATTTTCATTTTTATTACTGTATGTTTGCAGTAGATAATGATTATTTTCATTACAGGGAGATGGTACATGTACATATCTTAATTCTTGTTTTATTGAAGACTTAATTTTGCATGAGTGAAATAATTGTTGTGTCACTGGCTTACTGTGAAAAGTTATAAGGTTATTCTTGTCATATGCTTATTATAGTACCCAGATTAGAGGAGGCCCCCAACAAATGTTAATGTCAATGGTTTTAACAGCAGCAACAGTTCAGTGGCAAAAGCTCAACAGCAATAATGATGATAAACGTTACAGTATTACTATCCAACCTTTAAATTGTTCAATTGATTTTCTGCTTTTTGCTTTTTAATTTTTTTTGTCTTTTTGAGACAGGGTCTTGCTATGCAGTTCAGGCTGGCCTTGAGCTCACTTTGTAACCCAGACTGGTCTCGAACTCCCAAGGACACTCCTGCCTTAGCCTCCTGAGTGCTGGGATTACAGGTGTGTGCCACCATGTCTGGTGGTTCTCCCGTTTTTTAGCCAGGGTCTTACTATGCACGTAGTTCAGGTTTGTCTCAAATTCACAGCAATCATTCTGCCTTGGCTTCCCCAGTGCCAGGATTACAGGTATGTGCCACTGTGCCTGGCTCAATTGATTATTAAAACATTACAAAAGTAGTGCAAACATATCTGAGGGAAAAGTCAAAACGTACAGAAGGATACAAAGTGAAAGTCAAAATGTCTTCCAAACTATTAACAGTTTATTCCTGTCCTTAAATTCAAAGTAGAATAGTCCTAAAACAATCTACATTTTACAAAATGCACCTGTATTCTTTTTTACTCCAGTCACCTTAAAATACTATATGAAGTGATCAGTGTTAATGCTGTTGACAGTATTAGACTGAGGAAATGAATTTAAGACAACATGTTTTAAAGAAATGGCTTCTTCATGTAGTTTAAAATATACTGGAAGCTTTGCCAAATCCCTGCTAGGTCTGAACTTTTAGATTAGTAACTGCTACCTCGCGCCCATGTCTATTTCACCTTCCCACCACACTTCGTGTATCTCTGTCTTTGAGAAGGGGTTCACATACATAAAAACAGAGTGCTGCAAAGAGCTGGAAGACTTAAGGATGACATCGCCTTCTTTCTGAGCCTAAGGCAGGTAAATTCCATACTCAGCAGATGCCATCTAAGAGCAAAGCATCATTTATAAATGTCTGGTAGTGGGAGTTAGACCCAAAATTCCCGCTAAGAAAACGTGAGTAAGCTTTGGTGGCAGAAATGGGAAGGTGGGACCAGAATTGCATAGTCATCTAATCTAATCTATTATTTCATATATATTCTACTTAAGAGAAAAACTGTGGGAATCAAAAGAAGACTCGTTAGTCCTGGATGTAGAAAATGAAGGCCAGAAGCCAAACAGTGGTTAGCCCACGTGCTGAACACCACCCAAGGGGGGATCCTTTGACCTATGGACTCGCATTACTGTTTCTCAGACTCTGTATTCACCAAAACTCAACTCCTAATTATAACCTTGCCTTCTCACTTGGCCTGAATCCAAGCAGAGGGCATGTCTGAACAGTAAGTAATGCTTATATTCCAGTCTGCCTGGTCGTTCTACCTTTTATCAGATTAACAAAGCGACATTCTGGCTCATACATCAATTCCCTGTGACAATAAGCAACGTTCATCTACTTTTCTTGGCTCTGATCAACTCTGGTTACCTGAAAAAGTGGAGTTTTTACTTTAGAAAGGCTGAACACCCGATACTAACTAGAGTTGACTGAGAAAAGGTAAGGCCACCCTTTGCAAAGATTACCACCAGCCTTTCCTGACGCCTCACCTTGCTGTCAACTTCCCTTGCAATTGTACAATCTCCTTTGAGGCAGGGGGACCAGACGGAGCCAAACTTATCATCTGTCTTCCTGATATAAAATCTAAACTCTATGGCACAGGATTTTAATTCATTTATTCAGTGCTAAATTCCTAAGTGCCCAGAACAGTGATTGACACACACACAGAACTTTCACTAAATATTTGTTGAAAATGAAGAAATGGTAAACCATTAAGCCTTGGCATTTGCAATTAAATTTAAACTTGCCAAGTCAAAAGCTTAGTAAAAAAAAACTGTCCACGTGCACGAGTTTTAGGAAAAACTTTCAGTAACTAGACAACTGTTAACAACGGGAAGAATACTTCTTTGGAGTGAGTTACCTCAGCAGTGCTTTACAGTTTACAGGCACTTTCCCACACACCCTTTATGTGACCCTCTCCTCATTCCGGGAACATGCTCTCTTTGCCAGAGGTCCACGGCCTTCCACCTTGATTGAACCTTAAGCTGTTCCAACCCTCCTCCCCCTGTTCTGTCAACACTGAAATATGTTTCTATGCAATGAAGGACTCTTAAACACCTGGATCTTCAAGAAATGTCTGTTACCCTTATTCATTAATCCCAAGCACACCAAAAGCAGGATACCGCATACCTTAGTAAAATTCTTATGACTGTGAATAGTAGGGGTGGAAGGGAAACAGGAATAGGAACTGACAGTGATAGAATATAGTTGTCAGGGACTGGGCGTGGTGGAGCATGCCTGTAATTCCAGCACTCAGGAGGCTGAGGCAGGAAGACTGCTGGGAGTTCAAGGCCAGCGATTACAAAGTGAGCTCAAGGCCAGCCTGAAGTGCACAGCAAGACCCTGTCTCAAAGACAAAAAAAAGAATATAGCTGTCAGATACCATGCTAAGCATTTAACACGAATGATGATGACTCTCAGTAGTTGAGTGCTATTCTTCTCATGATTCCTTCTCATTTTATGGAGAGAAAAATTACCACACCGAGAACCTAACAGTCACACTCCAGTCACACTCCCAGTTACTATAATATACTTTGAATCAGCATTGCATTTTCTTATTACTTTTTTATTTGGCTTTTTGAGACAGAGTCTCGCCATGTAGTCCAGACTGGCCTTAAACTTGCAGCAATCCTCCTGCGTCAGCTTCTCAAATGCTGGCATCATGGGCATGTGCCACTACACCTGGCTCTATTTTCTTATTCTTAAGGAAAGAAAGTCCCAAACAATAACATGTCATAGAATGAAACAATCAGGAAAGCAGCCAAGGTTTTAAAATTAATATGCATCTGTTTCCTATGCACCTATTTTTGTCTAGCACTATTCAAGGAAACATAAGACAGAAACATAAGATATACTCAGTCTTTAGGAGTTTATAATTTAGTAGTTATCTTTATTCTCAAGTGGGTCAAACAGTATATTATAGTATCAGGATACTGTTTTGTTTTGTTTTGAGACAGGGTCTCGCTCGGGCCTCAAACTCACAGCAATCTTCCTGCCTCAGCCTCCCAAGTACTGGGATTACAAGTGTGTGCCACCGCCAAGGCTGGCCAGAGTATTTTTTTGTGTGTGTGCGGGGAATCGAACTCAAGACCTTGTACTTGCCAGGCAGGCGCTTGTATCACTGAGCTATATCCCCAGCCCTGGCCAGAGTATTTTTTAGAAACATACATATTACATTTTTGCCACCTGACTCCAGAACTTTCACTGTTTCCCTGTATCACATTTGATAATTTCTATTGATTAGGGCTTGCAGCAAAGCAAAGGTTTTATCAGGTTTGAATCCTATTCAATGTGAGTAATTCAGTACGAAGAAGCTCTGAACCACACAAGCTGCCTTCTCGCTCTCAAGCAAGCTAGACCAATCTATGGCAGGACTCATGTGCTTGTTTTTCTGTCAGGAACATGCTTCTCTCAGACTTCTTGGCTTCTTCAGGACTCCGCTCCAAATTGCATCCTTAGAGGAAAGCACCTGGTGTTTTATCTATAAACAAATGCTTCATATCATCCACTATACGCACTTGCTATCTTAACTTTTCTCATAAACTCCATTACCCGAAAACTTTTATAGATTTTATTTACTTGCTATCTATCTGCCCTAAAGAATCAATGTCCACGAGAACCGAAATCTGGTCTTTGTTTACAGCAGTAGCTCTTGCTTCTAGTGGGGCAAACACGGAAGCGCTCAGTAAGTATTTGCCCCACTCAGTTCTGAAAAATTAATCTGCAATGCTAGGTTTGAACTGCTCTGTCTGAGATTACTAACAGCAGCTTCCAAGAGTTCTTTCCAACCGTTTCTCTAGTTTACAGATAGGAAGAATGCTTCAATATTTTTGATAGTAGAAGACTAATCACCCACCCCAAGGAGAAAAACAATCAAGGTCCTCAAAACTAACCTACTTTATATCAATGACAAAGTTAAATTTCTATGGTTTACTAAAAGTGTATGTTCCTGAAATTCTGACAAAATAGAAACGCTAAGCAGTGAGTAATTTCATCAATGTCTAAAATATATAACATTAAGATTCAGTCTTTCATACTTAGAATACAGAAAACGTTTGCTTAAATTATCTAAGCAAATACTTACATAGGTACTTTAAGATTCAAAAGAAAAACCTACCTCCTAACGCCCCACTGTGATCTAGGCTTTTCTTTTTAAAGCCATTACAGGCGATCAGAACGGGAACAACAACAGAAAACAGCCAACGCCAAGGAGAAACAGGCCGTATGTTACCTGAAAAATTGTAAAAGTTGAAGACAAATTGTGTTACGTCTACCTAGATTTGTCTCAACAGTAAGCTTTGGTAACTAAATTCTGCCTTAAAAGATTGTTATCAGTACAGAAACTGGGACGAAGTAGCAAAATAAAATGTACACATTGCGACTTGTGTATTTCAGAGGGGCAATCTCTTACTGGAGAAAGGTCGATTACATCCAAGTTTTGAGAATTATTTATAGCTACTTATGCTAATGGGTACCTTAAATATGACTATTTGGATATGTGAAACTCATCTTTGGTTGCTCAGCTTTTAAAAGAAGGCATCAAATTTCAGGGACTACACAGAACCAACCTTTTCTTAACAGGATCTAAATTACTCCTTGCCTTTCAGTGAGATTATTTCAAACAAATACCATTTTGACAAGCTATAAATCTGATTCAACAGCTAGAAATTTATTTTTCCAAAGGTGGCATCCAGCTTACCTAGGTCTTACTCTGCCAGCATACTGTTTCAAAAGAATCTGAGCGAATGTTTAAAGATTAGGAGATTTCATATAAAAATTCCAATTCTTCAGTTTAGAAGCTAGAAGCTCTGCCTGCTATGCGGCAGAAATAACTGAAGTTGAAGAGGCCACCTTCTTAATATGGTTTATGGCTTTCACATTTAAAATTCCTACCACTCCTGATAGACTCCTAACATTAAAACTGAATGATTTCCTTATGATAAAGTGAAACATGAACCACTGCTCATGTCCAAGTTTCTACCAAAAACGGGAAAATAAAAGACCAAGAGGGCAAAACAATCAACAAAAGCAGGAAATACCCTATTTTTGGATGTCAAAACTATTACCCAGGTCTAATATGCAAACGTTCCGGTAAGAACCTTCTCTCCTACTGTACATCATTATGAACAGACCTGAAGAACTTCTATATCCTGAAGAACGTTTGATTATTCATGTCTCTTCACAAAAGGACTTTGCTCTGAAGTAGCAATGATCATTTTTAAGAGCTCACTTTCTCATTTTTCTTTCCTGTGTTTTCTTTGTCATGAACTGTCCATTACTCTGTTTTTGTAGGCATCCCAAGGAAGTTTACATGTAAGTATGCCCATGCTCTGAGGCAAGTTCACAACCTTAAAGATCTGAGTTCAGAATACTCTATATTTATGCTTCAGGCTTTAAAGTGTCTTTATTTGTGTGTGCTGGGAATCAAACCTAGGACCTTGATCCTGGTAGGCAAACACTCCTCCACTGAGCTACATTACATGCCTAGTCTTGTATTTTTGTTGCTGTTGTTTTTCTTGGTACTGGAGCTTGTACTCAGGGTCTCAGCACTACATTCCAAGCCCCTTTTAAAATTTTTTCACTTTGAGACAGGGTCTCACTAAAGTGTCCAGGTTGGACCCAAATTTGCAATTCTCCTGCCTCAGTACCCCAGAGTGCTGGAGTACAGGTGTGCACCACTGAGTCCGGTTGAGTCTATTGAGTGACCAAACAGTACACAAGTCCTTAAAACTGTCCAAATGTAAACATTACACTATCTTTAATTTTTTATTAATTTGACAGGATACATAAAACTGACAAACTACACTACTAAGATTCTTACTCAAAATTGAAAGTGTCACTGAAATCACTTCAAAAAACCATGTTTTACATTGCTTATTTTTCACCAAGGTAGACAAAATAATTACCTGAAACAGACACCTTGAGGAAGGAATACTAGCATCACCACAACAAGCATTTACTAAAGACTAAAGCGTTGACGGCACTGCTTATATCACCATATAAAAAAATGAGGCCCTGGAAGTAAAGATAACCATTCACAACCATTCCAAGAATATGAGTTTTGGAACTGTTTTAAGTTCCGATTGTAGGAAAACAATTTAGAACTTTTCTACTCACCGTAATAAGTGCTAGCAGTCATTGACATAATCCAGAAAGCTAAGGAAATGCAAATGATCAAGCTCAATATTACTATATTAGTAATCATCTTTATATATATTTTGTATATATTGTCGTCAAAATCTGTCATGGAAAACAAGGATATGAGCACCTGAGGGAGAGAACAGATACGATTTCTCAAAGAGAGTCATTTAGGTGGCCGGCAAAGCACTGGTTTAGAGGCAAACATAAATGCCAACACCTTCCACCGACCGAACATAAGAAAAATCAACATAAGCCCAAACTCATTCCGGAGACGGCTGCTGAGGAGCGGTCCGATCTCACGGGCAGTGATGACCCATTTCCCGAAAAGCACGGCGCAGCGCGCGCGACGCAGAGCTCCGAGCGCCGGGCAACATCGTCCCCCGAGACCCGGAAGGCGGACGCAGCGGGCGGCCAATCAGGGCCGCTCTGGGGAGCCCCGCCCACTGCCACACGCTGCAGCTCGCACGCCCGGGCAGGTTCCCGCCCCACCGCCCCCCCTCGCCCTCGAACCTGGGCCAGGCTGGGAGCGAGCCCCAAGCAGGCGAAGACGTCGCGCGTCCGGACGGCCGCCTGCGCCGCCTCAGGGTCCGGGTCCGGCCGGGGTCGCCGGGGACCCCGATCCCTGCTCGCGCCTCCCCGCGCCCGCAGCTCACCTCGCGTGCGCACGCGCCGCAGCCCGCCCGCGTACAGCCTCGCTCACGTGAGCGTTTGAAGGCGAACCGCAGGGAGCTGCGTCGGGCGCGGGAGCTGTAGCAGCCAGGAAAGCGAAACCGACTGTGGGGTAGTAAGCAAACCACAAAATGCAGGGGAATTTAGACCCATAGGGCCATTTTAAGCGCACTACTCAAATACTTCTGAATCTATCACGTTCACAGCAAATAATGCTATTTCTTTTAGCGTGGGGTAAGGAATATAGTGTTCTGGAAATGGAATTTGGGGCCTTAGGCTATCATTTAGAACAATACTGTTTAGTCTCTGTACTGGGCCGTGGTTTGCTCAGTGTCAGACAGGAAGACATAATGCTACATCTAGTTCCTGCTTTTGAGCGCTCAGATAGCTGTGATGACAACGTTGTGGAAATACAGCAGTCTATTCCCACCCCTGTCACATTTACAGGGTGCGTTTAGCCAGTTCATTTAGAAACTAGCACGTTTCGTCAGCATTAACAATCGCAGGCTTGTGGCTAATTTCATATTTTACTTGGAATTAACTTTTTTTTACCAGCGTTAATAGTAACATAATTACATTATATTCCTGAATTTTTTTCAGTTAATTTTCCTTAATGAGAAGAGGATACAGGCCACTTCAGGCATAGTACACAACCGTTATAGCCCACTAATAGTGACTGCTTTTTCATATACATGATTTCCATTAATAGTATGCACTTTTTGAAAACTCAAGTGTTAAGCTTCAAAATCCATGCCCAAACAACTTATTTTTCCTTTAATAGAACGTTAGTTCACTAAGAACCAAATCTATGGAGTAGGACTAAATAGCCTTACAATAGCCTTTTATTATGAGGCTATATATATATATACATACAGACATATGCATCTGTCTGTTAAACTTCATTATGTATCTGGTTTTGTCTCTGTTCTCTAAACAATTGAATTACTTCACTGTGCTACCTGGCCATTATCATGTAACCGGACTTACTGAGTTGCTGGTATTAATAATAAAAGTGAATGTTCTTATGGTTTAGAGAATGACCTTATCTTTTTTCTCTTGCTTTTAGAGAAAATTAAACTTGGTTATGTTTGTTTTCGCTTCATCATGGTAACAAGGTGACCTTGTCTAATTATAGTTGGTATTTTGTAATGAAACTATGGCTCATCTATGATTGTTGGGCCATCTGTTAACACTGAGGATTGTGTCCAGTCAGTTCCTGGATGGCTAAGATGTTTTCTCATGGTTATTTGATCCAGTTGAAATTGTTTATTAAATTACAGCGTAGTAGGGGGCTAGGGCATGACAACGTGGCTGGAGCACTTACCTACAACCTATCAGTTGAGACTTTAACCACTGGTGCAGAACAGGAGCACTGGAGCCTGACACCGGATTAAACCGAGCCTTGCGCTTGGTATCTATCTTCTGATACGACAGCATGCCAAAAACGTGGTACCTGAAACCAGTCTTCTAGCACGAGATCAACTGTGACTACCTGGGTCAACCATCAAAGACACAAAAAGATGGCAGCGATTGACCTTGTGGCCACTGTCCTTTAGTTCTTGTGGTGCAGTCTGCTTGCAGGATATGTCTTCTCTTTTCCTTCAAAGCACCCTAATTGTCTTTGTTACAGACTCCTTTTCTGTGCATAGAAAACATGAGTTTGAAGCTTACTATCACAATCCTAGAACAAACAGAAAGTTCATTATTGAACTAGTAATCTTTAAACTTCACAACACAAACACGTATTTAAATTTTCTTTCTTTTTTGAGATAGGGTCTTGCTGTGTAGTGCAGGCTGGCCTTGAACTTCCTTATGTAGCCCATGCTGGCCTCAAACTGATGGCAATCCTCCTGCCTCAGCCTCCCGTGTGCTGGGGTTACAGGTGTTTGCCACAATGCCTGGCAAGTTTTCTTTCATATAGAGAAATATGGATTTCTGTATGATAGAGTTTTGGTATTTAATAATTGTAAAAATTAGCCTGAAGGGAAAACACACTGCTTACAAGGAAAATTTCAGTAGGTTTTATGTATAGTCTTTTGAAACTAAGCAAGACAGTGGCCTAAAATTTTCTAAAATCTGCTAGTACTTGAGCACCATGTACATATATGTCAGACCCTTAAGGTCCAAAAAGGGGGGGGGGGACTATGAAGAAAACCAACCAATGTGCAAACACAAGCACATGTGCACACACACACACACACAGTCTCTGTCTATAGGGACATAGAAGGTAAAAACAGAAATGCAGACAATTACATAGTAAGATGCCAACTTTATCAAAGTTATGTATAAAATATAACTAAAAGAGAAAAGCACTCATGTCACTTTGGTCTTTAGGGAAGTTGTCACATGAGTGTCCAAGCTGTAACTTGAAAGATGACAAGTTAGTCATCTTTTTTTTTTTTGGTTTTTCTCCGGTACCGGGAACCGAACTCACGACCTTGCGCTTGCCAGGCAGGCGCTTTTGCCGCTGAGCTAAATCCCCAGCCCCAAGTTAGTCATCTTTGTCAAGTGACTAAGCTAAAATGTCCTCCAAAGTCCCATGTGTTCAAAAGTGGGGGCTTTTTGGGACGATTAGGTCATGGGGCATTATTCTCACCAGTGGGTTAATTTACTGGTGAATTGCTAGCTGGCTGTGCAGCTAGGAGGTACAGCCTGGTCAGAGGACGTTGGTCACTGAGGGTGTGGTCTGAGTGCATTTCTGTCCCTGTCTCTTCCTTCCTCTTGGCTTCCTGGCTGCCATGGTGCAATCAGCCTTCCTCTGCTACGCCCTTTCATCATGCATTTCTACCTTGAAGCCAGTCAACCATGGGCAGGTTGACCCAAAACTGCCAAATTCAAACAAACAGAACCCTCTCCTCCTTTAAATTGTGGTTATCAGGTATCTTGTCTCAGCAATGGGAACATGACTGATACAAGAAATCTGGAAAGGTTTGAGGGGTAAGAAGAGCGTGGAAACAGGAAGTTCAGAGGAGGAGTTACAGTTTGGACTATTCACAAAAACAGTTAAAGTCAGAAGTCATCTGAGATAGGCACATCCTATTTCTTGACGTTAAACTCACCAATTTAGTTAAACCTTTAGAGCACAAACTGGAAAAGGCTAGGCAACTAGTTGACAAATTTGTATTAAATTCAACTCATTCTAAAAGACACTGGGGAGAGGTGAGAACATACAGGGCATAAATAAGTAAATGAAGCATTTTTTAACGATAGTCTTGTGGACAGGGACTACATCTATTAGGTTCATGCTAGCTGGCTCCATATCTCTTAGTGAGTGTCAAAATAATATTTTTAAATAAAGAACAGTATTTACTTTTAAATTTTTGGTTGAGACATTTTTTGGTTTGGTCTTGCTGTGTAGCCCAGGCTGATTTTGAACCCAAAGTCATCCTCTTACCCCAGCCTCCAGAATGCTGGGATTATAGGTGTGCGTGGTGATATAGGCTAGGCATGGTGATGCCTAGCCAAAAACAATATTTTAATCAAAAAAAATTTGTAAGAAAATAGTAATATTTTAAAATTAAAACAATGTTTTTCTAATCATATCTACAAATAAATCTACATATGAGTATCAAACTATTGTCAGACCAGACTCCTGGAAAGAGCATCTTTTAGTCCTTCATATATCTGGCCCAGATTATACAGACAGCATTTATCTGTGTAAATAAATTGTAATGTACACTTAACTGTAACACATGTTAAACTGATTCCTTCTGAGGAGTTCACATATCTTTACCTGTTTTACAATTTGCTTCAATTCAAGAAGGAATTCTACAGAAGTCTTTTTAAGGGCTCAAATTCAGGCAAGAACTTTCACAGAAATGTTTATATTTTTTAGAAATAATAGGCATAACAGTAATTTCATTGGAAAAAGGGTTTTAATAATGTACTTTAAATACATTTTTGTGAATATGTATGTGCTTAATATACATTACAAAATGTGTAATTTTAGAAAGTCTCCAGCTTCTAAATATCAAAGGAACTCCATTTCTGGTACAAAGATGAATGAACCACTGTGTACATTATACCAAAATTAAAATGTACCCGTATTCTAAAATTCAGAAATGAGACAAAACATTATAAAGTCTACCAAGAAAGATCAACAATGACCATACAGAGTATCTTTACATATATATAAAATTGTAATATTTTTGTTTTTGAGAGACGTGATTTGTTCTATATAATAACATACTTATTGAAGAGTTAGAATGTGGAAGGCAGAGAGGATTTAGAACCAGACTATATCATTATAGAACTTTCTAGTCCCACAGAAATTTTTATCTCTTGTGAAATTTGGTAGAGAATATATGTGTGAATGAAAAAATATAGATTTCTTCCTGTCTAAATCAGAAATAATACCACTTAACATACATACATTTTGTAAAAGAAAAGAGAAGGAAAGAGTACAAATTGTTTTGTAAGGCTAAGTTAAATTGTTTTAGAAACTTGTATAGGTTTTGTTATTTCGTACAAAATATCAAATTGTAAATAAACTCCAGGACTTGGCTTTGATGTAATATTTTTATAGCAGTGTTTTCCTTTTAGTAAAGGTACTATTACAAATTAGTTAAGAATTTTATAGTAAAAATGTCTTACAACTCAATACAGTATTCAAGTTAAACATCACTGTCCTCTTATCGCCTTTGGTAAGTCATTATAAGAAATCTGTTTTGTTTCAATGAAAAGCATTTGATTTTAAAAAGGTCTCAAAGTTTGTATGTTCTGAGTTTAACAGTTTACCAAAGTACTTTGCCCCTATTTCTTTTTTAGCATTTATCATATTATACACACTGTTTATTTCTCTAAAAAAGGGTATGAGCAATGTAAGGGCAGAGAGTCATCCTTATTTTTTTCTTTTCTTTTTTGGTACTATAGGTTGAACCTAGGATCTCATGTATGCTAACCATGTGCTCTACTACTGAGTTACACCCTGCAGCCCAGTACTCATCTTTATATCAAGCTCCTGCCCTTTTGCTGTTTTCTTTGCAGAGGTTAGTGGCCAGAATACACAATGAATGAACAGAAGTTGTTCACTGTGTCCAACCAACTAAGGAAAAAGTTATAATTTTGATTAGTTTTATTGTACATTGTCAGAGTACTAAGAAATCTTATCAGCAAGGTGAAAAAGATTTTTAAAAGATTCCTTCTAGGTATTCTCCGTGAATGAAGCTTGAGACAGAGTATATTAATAAAACAATTTGATGCAGGGAGGATTCAGAGCACAGTATCAGGGCAATAACAAGAAAACGACAAGAAGAAAAAAATTTAAACTTACTGAGGGGTACTTTTTTCAATGATGTCAAGTAATCAGTGAAGACTAAATAACTCTGCAAAAGCTTGTTGTATTTTGTTTTTTGTTTATATTAAGATACTAAGATACAGGATACTAGTATACAGGAACGAGGCTGCATTAATTAGTGCCTAGTATTTGAGGTAGAGGGTGAACTAGAGGAAAGTCTATATTTGGAAAATAGTTTATATTTAAATCATTATTTGTCCAATTTATTTTCAATTACAATGTAGATATAATCAGTGTGTTTGCTCATGATTATATGGAATATGAGTATATAAAGGTATTTGAAATCATACTAGAGGGGGCTGGGGATTTAGCTCAGCAGCACAGCACCTGCCTGGCAAGCGTGAGGTTATGAGTTCAATTCCTGGTACCAGAAAAAAAACCAGCCTGGGCTACAAAGTGAGCTCAGGGCCAGCCTGAACTGCACAGTGAGACCCTGTCTCAAAAAGAAAAAAAAAAAAAAAAAAAAAAGAAATCATACTAGAAAAAATGCAGTGATAACTCGGAGGAACTATATCCAATATTTAAAATAAAGATAAAATGACCTAACAAGTCATACCATCTGCAAAGGATTTCATAAATATTTGCTATAAGCATCTCATGTGAACTAAGAAACTTTTCCTACTTTTGCATTTGCTTGGGACACTCCTTACTAGAAAAAATGCTGCCAGCCCTAGTGGCCCATGCTTTTCAGGATGCACAGGCAGAAAGATTGCAAGTTCAAGACTAGCCTGGACAATTTAGTGAGACCCTGTCTCAAAATAAGTACGAGATGTAGCTCAGCAACAGAGAGCTTGCCTAGTATGTATGAGGCTATGGGTTTAATCCCCAGTACAAAAGAAAAAGTGCTAATACTGTAAAAAGATTGCTGCTAGGATCCAAGAAAATCTTGCTTAAAAGAAAAAAGAGACTATCCAAACAGTTGGCAAAAAAGGCATTATCTTTACAAGAAAGATTTATAGTAATTTAAGATTAGGTATATGCTATTTTCATACTATCACAAAGTAGGAGTAAATAACTTGATTATATTATTAACAAATTTTTACATTTACCAAAGCTTTTTGGAGGAAAGGGTTCTTATTAAACATTTGATGAAATAAGGCAAATCCTTTAATTAAAGTGACAACCATAGAAATGGTTCCAATGCTTCTATTTTATAAAATAATTAGCATTTGCATAGCTTTATCACAGACACATGTAGTTTTTATAAAGAATACATTTCATTTCCCTTACATATTAGGTTTGTTGTGTTTGACTCACTAAAGAGAGAAGGAGGGGGAGAGAGAGAGAGAGAGAAAGCTATGTGTAAGATAAATTGACTACGGTTAAAGTTAATTATGAAGATACAATGTGGTAAGTACTTCTTGATTAAATTCTTCTGTGGGTTTTTGAAGGAGGAAAATAGTTCACTATATTTATACACTACTTCTGAGATAAAGTAGTTAAAAGCAAGAAAACATGAAAGCTGACGGGTATGCCTAACAAGAAACTTGCATGTTTGCCTCTTAATGTACCAGCTTTGAAGTTGGGAATTCAGAATTCTATTATAAGAAAAACAGTAGTACAAATATATCTGTTTTATTAAAGTAAAAGCTAGATTCTAAACTCTGAATTATTTCATAACTCGTTTTCTTAAAAGCAGGGCAACATCAGCTACTAGCTTTTACTAGTCTGAGGTACTTGAGGCCTTACTTAATTTGAATGATTCAAAGGTACTTCATTATTTTCAAAACATTTTACAAGCTATTTTTAAATCTAGTATTCTTATAAGGGAGACCATGATAAGCTTACTTTTAACGGTAAAAGACATATAGAAAGTTTAAATAACTTTGCCTGTACCTCAGGCTTTGTTCTCTAAATTTTCAAACCATAATGCCAAAAAAACAAAATTCAGGAGTTTTAAGGTCACAGTTATTTTAGTGTGAATAATTAGTATCTGGCATCTTATTCAGAATGTAATACCCCAACTTTGGCAGAGGAAAAACTTCTTTAAAAATATAAACATAGTATGTCTGATATGGTGTTCTTTAAGAGTAGTTTATCATTATTTTTGTCCTTTTGAGACAGTTTCACTATGCAGTTCAGACGGCCCTGAACTCACTGTGTAGCCCAGGTTGGTCTTGAACTTGCAGCAATCCTCCTGCCTCAGCCTCCTGAGTGCTGAGATTACAGGCATGCTTTAACAGTAGTTTAAAAAGGCAAAAAGAAAAACCTTGCAAACATACAACTTCCTAGCAAAATTTCTAAGTACTGTATATTCTCATGTAAGGCACTTCCATTCATTCTCAAATCACAGTTTCATAAAGTTTTTTTGTAGTCATCTTCATAAATAATATAGTAATAAGGTTACTTATTAAATATTCAATTTTGGCATAATTGCCATAACTATCTTTACCTCTGAAAAGAATGGTGGATGGGCACTGAGTTCTGTGCAAGATACACTTAAGAGAAGGTACTCTTGATTTCTTTTAGATTTAGAGAATTGGTAATGTTTTATCTTGCTGATGTTGCTCAAGAATCTTGAAATCTTCCAAAGGAAGACTGCGTAAGGCAGTTGGTAAAATGTGTTCCGATGTGCCCTTAGGTAATACGTTATTTGCTTCTAAATTTCTCATCAAGTATGTAGCTTTGATCCATCTTCGAGTTGCTCTACGTTCTTTTTGTAGGCAAATTTTCATTTTTCTTCTTAAGCTTGCTATTTCTTTTTCCAGTTTAATTATCCTCTTTTTTGCTTCCATAGGATTTCTAAAGGCATAACTGTGTTCAAGCAGTACTTGTTGACTACTAATGTTTGATTTTAAATTAGATGGTCCAGCTGGAGAGCAATTCTTGTTTTTCTTTAAAAGATTCCTTGACTTTAGTTCCTGAGCCAAATAAAATTAGAGTTGAACGTAAGTTATAGAATATCAAAAGTAAATCCTGTGCAGTTCTGGATAACAGAGTACTTAACTGTGCTTTCAAGAACTGATTTTAAAGTCTGATGGGAAGCAACAGTGGACTATCTTCTGGATTAAATTTCTCATTGGTTGAATGAACTCTGGTCACCTATTGCCTTTTGACCTTTCTCTCCAGAGATACTTACACACTGATTTGCAAATAACTGACTTCCAAAGCATCTTCCAAGTTACTGAGTATGACTCTATGGACACCTTAGAAATCCTTTGAAATTTCTTTATTAATTTCTTGCAATTTAGAATGTATTTATACATGTTGTTTCTCTATTGATTTTAATCTTAAACATTCTCTCAATATGATGACTATTTCAGGTGTGGAGACTACTGAAATAAAAATTGAAGGATGCAGAGAAACTATTTCAAGGTACAAGCTTTTAAACAGATTAACCTGTTGTTTAAAATTACATCTTCAAAAGGATTTAAAATCTGGCCAGGAACTTTTTGTCCAAATCAGAAACCTGAAGAACTCTTTTATTATACTCCCAAGAACATTAACCCATTGGATATAATATAGTTTCCAGACTATATCATATCTTCCTAGCACTGTTTTAGTGAAACATATACTATGAATGGATTTCTGGGGAAATGGTGAAGATGACAGACAAGTATGTTTCCTGTCCTCATGAAACCTACAGCTGGTCCCTCAGCACAGGGCACTGCCCAGAACTCTTTTGCTCTTTGTGTCCCCAGCACTAGATTCTGGCATAATGTAAAATTTAGTAAGCATTTACTGGATAAATAGAATGTCAGAAGTAAGGTACATTTCAAATTCAGTAAACAGCTGAATACATGCTATGTTTGAGGAGCTGACATGTTGAAGATTCAGAAATGAAAAGTTCTTGTCTTTGTGTCTATTTACAAATTTAAGTGTCACAAATAATTCAGAAAACGCAGTGGGTTTTTTTTTTTTTTTTCCTTCCTGAGGGAAAGTTATCTGTCCTTTTTTTGTTGTTTGTTTTGTTTCTTTGAGACAGGGTCTCACTGTGTAGCCCAGGCTGGCCTCAAACTCAAGGTGATTCTCCTGACTCAGCCTCCCACATGCTGGGATTACAAGCGTGCACCATCATGTCCAGCGATGTTTGTCCTTTTTAAAGCTAAATCCTCTGTGTCCATTCTATCCTTTTCTTCTGGTGACTCTATCTCAACTTTCGCTCCCTGATCAGATCTTTCCTAACTACACGAAATGTACTTTTTCTCCTTTAAAAAAAATCACTTGTTAACATTTGATAATTTTTCACTTTTTAGCTCACTGACTTTTGTTCTTACCTTCAGCTACAGTTCTCTGCAAGGTCAGAAAACTTCTCCAAACTTTCAAATTCTCAAACCCAGACTGAATGAATGCTTGAGCTTTATTAAATTTTCTCAACACTACTTTACTCTAAACTTATATCCTTATATCCTGTCATTTAGTATGTTGCTCTTAAAGCACTTAGCACATTATTTATAGATCATCCTAAAATCAGAGTGATGCTGGAGATTTCATTACTAATATTATTTAAGCTTTACAAGCGGTATATTTATTGATAACAATTGGTAATAGTGTAAAAATTTCAATGCAGGTTAATTGTTCCTTATGCATAGGACCTGCATGGTTCAAATTTTCAAGGTTTTTGGATTTTGGAATATTTATATAGCATTTACTAGTTGAACATCTTAATTTTAAAAATTCCTATCAGGGAAGCTCAATCTATCCAATAAAACAATTCAGATTGGGGAAAGAATACTGGAGTCAGCACACCTAAGTTCTAATTGTAGATTCCACATTTAATACCAAAGAGGAAGGTCTTTTGGGATGGAGAAGATAGGGGAATGGGGAAAGGAAAGGGAAGCAATAAAGATTAGGATGTTCTATGTGTAAGTACCAACGCCTCACAATGAACGTAATTATTACTTGAATATCACAAACATATACTAGCAACAACAACAAAAACCTAAAAAACAAAAAACTAGAGGAAGGTATGTAACTATTGAACATATCACTATATATGAATAGCAACATAGTCTGCTCTTTAATATGAACAGAAAGGAAAGCTGCTAAAAATGGCTTTAAAAAAAATAACATTATTACCTACCATAGACTTTATATGGGTACAAAAATCAAAAATGGTTGGAACAGCATCCATTTTAAGTCGTCGGGTTTGTCCTGTTAGGTCAAAACAGGAGGCTTCAAAGTGCTTTGAACAAAGAAAAGTGTGTTTTCCTGGCACAAAATTTTTGCGCCTAACCAGGCGAACCCATTCTTTTCTTCTTTTAGGATCCAAGGGAAACCTTAAACAAATAAAAAAAATGGCAACTCAAATTCCAACTATCATACCTTGACTAAATGTAAATGATTAAAGAAATTTTAAACTATCTCTCATTTACATAAAAAATCAAAACTCACAGTATCCAGATACTGGACTAGAAACCAATTCATGCTAATTTTTGTAAGTTGTGAAAAAATTTGTAAAAAACTGATTTGAGTATCTTCATTCTTCAGAGATTTTAAGAGACATTTCTTCCCAACTCAGTCCTTAATATGAGCAGTCAAATAACTCTGACCAAAGTGGGTCCGGTGGTACAAGCCTATAATCCCAGCACTCTGGGAACACCCACCTGAAGCCTCAAAAGCTGTTTGGCTTTATCCTCTATACATGGGTTTTTGAAAAATACAGTGAATGTTAAATTTAAAAAATGTATTACAGTAAAAGACATGTTGCCATGACTCCCCCTCAAAGTACTCCTTGCTCACTTGGAACACAGTTATCACACTCTTCTTGCCACTTTCTGAAGCAGTTCTAGAAGTCCTCTTTTGAGTGTGTTTATGAGGGGTGATGAAAAACACTGTGAATGCTACTGCCAAAGGCCATCAAATGGTAAGGCAGACTTGTAAAAACATTATGGCCTGCCCTCATGCACCTTGTTCCCTGGATCTGGCATTGTTTGACTTTTGGTTCTTCTCCAAAGTCAGCATGACCAATAAATATTTTGTATTGTTTCAGGACATCAAGGCAGCTGTGACTACAAATAAAAGATACGTCACAAAAGAAGATTCCCAGAACTGCTTAGAAAGTGGCAAAAATGATGGAATGTGTGTCTGACATGCATGCATGTGTATGAGGGAAAGATTTTAAGGAGGATTAGTGGAAATCTGTCTTTAACAATTTAAAAAAATTTTTCTTTTGAGACAGAGTCTCACTATGTGGTTCAGGCTCGGCTTGAACTCACTATGCAGGCTGGCCTCGAATTTAGGGCTATCCCCCTGCCTCAGCCTCTTGAGTACAAGGACTACAGACGTGCCACCACGCCTGGCTAAAATTTAAACACATTTCTTGATCACACCTCATACTAGGTTTGCTCATATTGCCAGTGATGAAAGCAGAGAGAAAAGCCCAAATACAGTATACAATAAATACATCCATCATGTCTCCAGCTCCCCCAATTCCAACACACCTTGAAGACACTAGTATTGGTATGTCACTCTGTGCACTTTGTTTTTGTATCTATTTCACTGGAAAACAGAAATTTTCTGAAGAACTTACTCTGTCTAGCTCTCATTTCTTAATGATAATCTATTCTCATTTCATAGATCTCTGTTCTATTATTAATAGTTTGGGGATGTTTCTTAAAGCCTAAACTAAAAATCGAACCTTAAACACATTTCTTCTTCTTGGGGCCTCAGTGAAAACTTAGAACAAATAAATATCATTGCTGTAGTACCATTTCTTCAGATACAGAACAACTCTTTCAAATACTGTTTTTCACTGGTTGCTTACTTCAGTGGTAGGAATCAAACCCAGGGCCCCTGTGCATCTGAGACAAGTGCTCTGTGGCTAATTTATATCCGCCACCTAATTCTTTTATTAAAGCTCTATTTTAAACTTGCTCCTTTATTATGAAACCAATGTCTTGAATGTAACTTTAACTTGACCAAATCCTACTTGCTTCAAGACTATTTAGGAATCGCACCTAAGGAAGGTTTTCATGATCACAAGGTAAGAGTTACATGTTTGCTACGTTATATAGTAGTAAGACCAGTATATCATAATTATTTTTCTACATTACCCCCTACCCCATTAGACTGTAAGTTTCCCCAGGTTATGGGCTGTTTTTCACTGCTTTTTCTTGGGTCATCATAGCTATGTACCACAGTAGCTGTAAGGACTCAAACTTTTCTGAGTGGATTAATGAATAAATGAACTAATGGGATTAATTTGGCATTCTTAAATAATCTTTGTAATGAAAAGATTATTTTACATTTGATATTTGTATGTTTTTATACAGCTTTAATCTCAGTCATGTTTTCTCTTTGTTGCTTGGATTTCACAATACATATAGAGGGTGAAAGATAGCCCATCAGCTATATTTATGTAATAAGAAATCATAAATATTTTAAAATTTGGTGGTAACAGATGGACATGTTCTTGTCTACACAATAGAACCAGGCTGTCATAACATTAGATGTTTTGGACATCACTCAGTAGTCTGAATGAGGTTATTTTCTTTACATCAATAACTGAATGTCTCATGTTTCAGGTCTGCCCTAGGCACTGAAGACATGGTGATAAACAACAGACATATGCACTCTGAGCATACACTGCAATTGGGAAGGCAGAGGACTGAACAGTTTAGTGTAGTGGATGACAGGGTGGCTGAGAACATCATTTCTGGACAAATAAGGACTCCAATCCTAGCTTCTTTCAGTATGAGCTGGGAGACTGTGAGCAAATTATTTAACATTTTTGGTTCTCCTCTTTATCATCTGTAAAGTGAGTTAAGAATGGTTCTAAGGATTAAATGAGCAAAATGTATGTGCTTAGCCAAGTACATAGTACTGTACATGGTGAATACTAAGTAAAGACTATTTGTTGTTATTATTATTATTATTTTTTTTTTTTGGTTTTTCTCCGGTACCGGGAACCGAACTCACGACCTTGCGCTTGCCAGGCAGGCGCTTTGCCGCTGAGCTAAATCCCCAGCCCCTATTTGTTGTTATTATAAAAGTGATTACTGCATCATGAGTATTATAAAAGGCTAAGTACAGGGGCCAACTGGAATCATAAAACAGAAAGGTCTGATCTATTTGAGAGTTTTAAGAGTAAAAATTAGCTAGGGAAGGTAAGTGGGAGTAGAATATCTTGGGGACAAGGAAGAGTGTTATGACATGATATGATGCTGGAGGGTTATCCAAAATAGCATTGGTAAGCCATTAAGAGGTTGAACTGTAAAAGCAGACTGTTAGCAGAAAATACTTGAACTGGTTGTTGAAGACAATTATATTAAAGATTATATAAACTCGCAATTAAAACCAAAAGTAGTAAGTACTACAAACCCTAACTTCCTAATTATTTTGTGTTATTTTCATAGTGTTATTTATGTCTGTTTTATATGTATGGTAGAAATACTGTAGAATAGTGTTGTGGTATCATACATCTCTTCTTGATTCAGTAATGTCATACTGATGGCGTCAAACCAACTTTGGTGGGAGTATTTATATTATGGAAATTAGGCAAACACTACACAGAAGGCCTCTCCCTCTAGTGAGGCAGCTGTTAAACATTTAGCTATACACCACTGATTAGACTGATTAACAATGCATGAATGAAAGCAGTAAACCAGTTAAGAGGGTGGTAAAAAGTCAAGGTAGGATGACTTTCAAGTTTTCGGGTAGATGGTGTTTCCATTTATTGAGAAAAAGAATACAGAAAGTGGGGTATGTTTGTGGGAAGGGCAGTTTACTACAGATATTGAATCTCTAGGACCAGCAGGGGTCCAGATAAATAGCAGACACTGATCTATAAGTCTGGTACTCATTAGGGATATGGACTAGAGACTGATTTGGAAAGCAGCAACATGTCAATATTAATTGGGACCATGAGGGTTGCTAAGAGTGTGAAGACAGGTTTGGAGGTGGAGAGATGCGCTAGCAGCAGAGATTTTTTAAAAATCACAAAATTAGTATCAAGAAATTACCTCAGCGGCACAGCGCCTGCCTGGCAAGCGCCAGGTTGTGAATTTGATTCCCGGTACCGGGGGTGGGGGAGGGTGTGGAATCCAAAGTTGAGAGTATTTCTTCTTTTTTCTCCCCAGAGTTTGAACCCAGAGCCTCACACATCCTAGGTAAGCCCTTTACCACTGAGCTACATCCCCAACCCTGCTGCTTTTTTAGACAAAATCTTCACTATGTTGCCCAGGCTGTCCTTGAACTTGCAATCCTCATGCCTTAGCCTCCTGAATAGCTTGGATTACCACCATGCACCAACACACATGGCTAAAAGAAGAGCATATTTCAAGGAGGAAATGAACACACACCACGAAAAATGAATGTAAAGAAACACAGGTCATGTGAACAAGGGCAGTATCAGATTATTAGAGACTTAAGACTTGAGGGGGCTAGGAAGTAAGAAAAGTGGAGGCAGTAAATTCAGGTAATATAATTTGTACATGGGGATAAAATGTCAACGAATGTTTGAGAGGGACAGAAGTTAGCGAAATTGTGAAGTTCAAACGATTTGCACATAGTACAGCTTCCTATTTTTTTTTTTATTAATTATACCCCAGTCAAGCACTCATTGTGCTAGCAACTAAGTGGTAGTATTTTGCTCAGATGACATTGTAGTAGGATTTTCCTGTGAAAGAAATAGCGAGTAAATTAACATTTTACAATAAACTCCTTTCTCATCAAATTCACTCTGATGATGCTTGACTAGCACTTTAAGTACTGCTCTAATTCTTCACATTGCAGCCAGTGTACTTTAAAATATGCAAATCTAATTATGCCATTATCCTTTTTAAGCCTTCCCTGGCTTCTCAAGTACTCTTAGAATAAAACAGAAAATACGTAAGTAGCATAGAGGACAAAATCTATGTCATCCTCTGCTCTCATATGAAATGTCACATCCTTTGAGAAGTATCTCTTTTTTTTTTTTTACTTTCCAAGACTAGAGGAGGTCTCTCAGAAGGTCTTTTCCGGAGCACTGAACTGTAACTATTTGTACCTCTCCTCCATTCAACTCTAAACTTCAGGAAGATAAGAACTTATGGATCCTTAGCACAATGTTGGACAATTAGGAACTCCATATATATTAAATAGATGAATGAATAAAGCACCACATTTGCAAGAAGTAGTTAAAAAAACAACCATCACAGAATTATTTTTAAGGGACAGCTTTTAATAAGGGGGTACATTTAGTAATGGTGAGGTAGGGAAAGGTCAATGATATAATTTCCTATAGTCTAATATCACATAAATTGTAAGGTATATACAGTCAGAACTGGCTGGGTGTGGTGGTGCACACCTGTAATGTCACCACTTGGGAGGCTGAGGGAGGGCAATTACTGAAAGATGGAGGCCAGCCTGGGCTACACAGAGAAAAAGAAAAAAAATCAGAACTATTAGCACTTAACTTTTTAATATTTCTTTTCTTCAAGCAGGTAGCAGGCACCTGAAGAGAAGGCGAACATTTATCAAAGTACCTATTATATTCCAGGCAGTGTTCAAAATGCTTTCAAGAGCTTTGATTTGATAGAACTAAACAATTTCGATGGCTCTTCCAGCAAACGAAGGAAAAGCAAGAACTACACTCTTTTGATTACTCTGTTCGAGAAAAGAAAACATCTTTTGCACGTTCATTAACATCGCTGAATTTCACGGCTATCCGTGATGATGACTCAGTTCCTCAGCAGTTACAATTAGAAACCTAAACCCTTCCTATGTCAATTCCCCTAGTGATATTTCCAAATATTAATGGGCACGTGGAAAGCTTTTAAGCTGATCGTTGACTTGAAGGGGAAAAGATCTTTCGGTCTTTGTGGCGTCATTCGTAACAAAACATGGTCTAATACTTAGGAGAAGAGTAGAAAATTACAAGTATCTTCCTCTTTTTCCCTAAAGAGTCGTCACTGTACAGCATTCGATTTCTTAAAAAAAAAAAAAGTACACTTTCCGCGAAAGGAAAGAAAAAAAAAAACAGACAGACTTGAGAAACACACATAAAGGACAAAAATAATTCTCTCACGCTACCTGGGAAAGTTAGTAAGACCTGTAGAACAGTCCCGTTCCTTCAATAACCGAAACCCGGGCTGGTAGCTCCCGCGCGCCCACTCCCTTCCCACATTACCTGTGGAAGCTGATGTTTATGTGCTTGTTGTAGGTAGTAGCACAGCCCGCTGCAGCGCAATTGGTCGGCATTTCCCTTGCCCCCTCATTCGGCGGTCTTAAACCTGTTCTGAGGCACTAGCCGCTAAGCTTCTTTCAGGCAGAGGCTGAACAATCGAGGCAGGCGAAGGGCCCACCGAGCTCAGTGGTGACAGTGGGGTGGAGAGAAGGGGTGTACATGGAGGGCGGGGCGCGAGAGGGTCAACCTCCCCTTTCTCTTTATTAATATGACGCGTTTGAGCCAGCAGAGCCGACCATCCTGGAGCTCCCGGCGCCTTCCTTTGCCTTCACCAAGATGGCGGACGCTGCCCGTTCCCCGCCCCTCCCCGTTCCCGTCCCCGTCCCCGTCCCCGAAAGTAGGTCTGTTGCCACCTTTTGGCAGCGGTCTTCACAGCAATTAAAAGAACAGAGGTGTTTTCCCCTCCGTTTACTACTGAACTTCTCCAAATCTGTAGGCAAGAGCAGCCCGGCTCGCACCCACGGGTCCCAATGCAGACGCCAGGGTGGGCGTGTACTGTAGACAGGAAGAACGAGCCAGATGACAAACGAGGTACTACACATCTCAGCGCGTGTGGCCTGCACTATCGCGCGACTTGGAACCTTGCTTCCGGCGTACCGCCGGAAGTGACGGCGCGGGCTCGGCCGCTAGCAGAGCCCCTTTCTCGCGAGGCGGAAGATTCCTGATCGCTGAGGAGCAAGGGGGCGCTAGGAGAGGGAACTGGCTTGCGACGGTCCGGCGTGAAAGAACTGGGGTGCGGGGAAGTTGGGGAGCAGAACCCGCTAGGTGTCGGAATACAGTAGGGCCGCACCTACCAGGTCCGTTAGGAAAGAAGGGAGCCGACGAGGAAGGCAGTTGTCGGGCGGATCCCCGGACGGAGGGCTAAGGTGGTGTGGAAGGCGCCGCTCCCCGGATGGCGACCGCGGACACTTCGGCCCCGGCCTCCAGTGGCCTGTCGCCGAAGGAAGAAGGGGAGCTCGAGGATGGGGAGATCAGTGACGACGACAATAACAGCCAGGTCCGGAGCCGGAGCAGCAGCAGCAGCAGCGGCGGCGGGGGGCTGTTACCGTATCCGCGGCGGAGGCCTCTCCACCCGGCCCGGGGCGGTGGATCCGGCGGAGGCGGTGGCTCCTCGTCGTCGTCCTCGTCCTCTCAGCAGCCGCTGAGGAATTTCTCACGCTCGCGGCACGCGTCGGAGCGGGGCCACCTCAGGGGACACAGCAGCTACCGACCCAAAGAGCCTTTCCGGTCTCATCCGCCCTCGGTGCGGATGCCCTCGAGCTCTCTGTCCGAAAGCAGCCCGCGGCCGTCTTTCTGGGAGCGGAGCCACATTGCCTTGGACCGTTTCCGCTTTCGAGGCAGGCCTTACAGGGGTGGGAGTCGCTGGAGTCGGGGTCGAGGAGTGGGCGAGCGAGGAGGCAAGCCGGGGTGCAGACCTCTGGGAGGAGGCGTGGGGTCCGGATTCAGCAGCAGCCAGGGCTGGCGCGAGCCCTCTCCGCCTCGGAAGAGCTGTATCCTTACCGTGGCGGTCGGCCCTGGGTGTGTCACCGAAGTTCCCCTTTGCGTCATTAACTAGGTCCTTGAGATGATTGTAACTTTGCGGAGCCGCCCGTGCCTGTCAGTGCACTTAAAGTTGCTGGGTAATTCCATGTGTCACACTAGCGGTGTTGCTGAGGTTGCATTGTTGCTTGTTGACATGAACGCGTGTGGATTGGGGTACCTAGTGGGATCGCAGATGGTGCGACTTGCAATAGAATATTCGGCAGCCCAAGTTTATACGAGCATATATTTTTTCGCCAGTGCAGGAACTTTGAGTTTTCTGTGCATTTGACTTTATTAGACAGGAAAAAAATAGCAAACACTTTTGGAAATACTGTACAATACTTGTATTGCGCCTTGGCATTGGAAAGCGTAAAGTTTTGTTCCGCACAATCCTACCGTTCCTGTGATTGCGTTTACCTTTCCTACTGGATCTGCTTGCTGCCTTAGAATTGGGGGAAAGAGATACTGTGTCTTTACCAATTCTATCGATTTAGAGCTTTTTCAGATTTTCATGGGTTTGGAAAGCTGTCTGCTCATTAACTCTTCTTATGTTGACTTTTGAATATTTTATAACTTGTAGTAGTGTTTGCATGGGGGCCAGACAAGAAGGTAAACTTACCAGCATTTTTATTTTAAAGTATTAGAGTGGGGGACGTGTAGATTATGGGCAAGTTTAGAAGGAAGACGGCAAAATACGTGATTATTTTTGCTCCCCTTAATCTTTTTCTCAGTTATCTTTTTTTTTTGTTGTTTTTGTTTTTGTTTTTGTACGGTACCGGGAACCGAACTCACGACCTTGCGCTTGCCAGGCAGGCGCTTTGCCGCTGAGCTAAATCCCCAGCCCCTTCTCAGTTATCTTTAACTAATTACTGAGTTTACTGAAGATTTATACCAAGAAATTAATTATCTGAAGGTTTCTTATTTTATAGAACTATGTCTTGATTACTCGGTAATAACTGCATAGAAGTTTACGAAGGACTTTCATTAGTAGCTATAATTCTCATAAGTAATTTTTAATATATTTATTATGTATGAAATTTACATATAATTACATTTATTTGGAAGATCCTCAGAATTATTTTTACAGAATACTTAGGGCCAGGATGGACTGTCCCAGATATCATGATGTAAAGGGGCTAGCAATGTTTAATTAGGTAGCAGCAGCTTCTGGTGTTGGTGCCCTGGAAAAACTTACTTCTGCAACTGGACATTGTATTAGGAGCATTTGAGGATTATTTCAGAAGAAAATTATTTAAATACTTAAGTTTTAAACACAGTGAATGTTCTTTGAAGAAGGTTAGAAAACTTCTGTCCAGAATATTCTTTTAATCCGTGGATTTGTTGATTGATTGTTCTGAATCCAAAACCAGAAGGGCTCGTTAGGCATATATGTGGGTTTTAAAAAAGGATAGAGAGGAAACTTACACTTTGTTTTGGAGAGACAGAAATAAGTACAGCTTAGTAACAAAGTTCAAGTTGAGGTATACAAAAATACTGTGACAGTTTGTAGCTTTATTGTGTTAGTCTGTACTGGAAAAGGCAGAGATGGGTGGATTTGCTGTCCTTTTGCCTTTGTTTTCTGTCTTCATTCAGTACAAGTTTGGGCCTCTGGCATGTACTTTTATTAATTTATATGTTTATACATATTTATATTAGTAAGCAGGCATATGAGATTACAAGTAGAATATAAGAAAATATGGACTCCAGGTGACTTTGATTTCTGTAATAACTTGTCAGAAGCAAGCTGTGCATGGTGGTGCACACCTATAATATCAATACTGTAGGCTGAGGCAGGAGGATCACTGAGTTTGAGGCCTGCCTGAGCTTACATAGACCCTGTCTCAAAAAACCAAAGCAACAGTAATAATAGTAATATAACTGTCAGAAACACTCTCTCTTGGTGTTTTTTTTTTTTTTTTTTTACAAATGCTGCCCTTTAAGAAAAGGATGCTTGTTTAAATCCTCTGCCCATGATACATCGATAATCCATCCTAGCAGTGTTATTCTTGTCAAAATTTGAAAAGAAAAACATAGGTTTTAATGCTCAGCTACTTTTTTTTTGTCTTTTTGAGACAGGGTCTCACTATGCAGTTCAGGCTGGCCTTGAGCTCACTTTGTAGCCCAGGCTGGTCTCCAACTTGCAATGATCCTCCTGCCTCAGCCTCCTGAGTGCTGGGATTACAGGCATGCGCCACCATGCCCGGTTCGCAGCTACTTTTGTATATGAGAAAATAAAAAATTTGTAGTGTAATCTTTATTACAATTCTTTTAATATCAGAATTATATAAGTTTAATTCATATTTCCACTGTGATAGTAAAAAGTCACTATAAATGTATAAAAAGGTGAGAGCAAATGTATGGCTTTCAATAGTTTAGAAATGAAATATTTTGAATACAGATTTTTTTGGTTCTCATCTTTTTAGTTTCAGTAATTTCAGTAGCTTCAGCTTTAAAGAAACAGAATAAATCAGATTCTAGTGTACTTCTTTATTCTTCTTCACTTTAAATTTTTCCAAATGATAGACACTTTGTCAGTCTTATTTTAGCCTAAGTCTCCCTTAGATGACTACTGTTTTCTGCTTCTAAATCAGATGAGAACTAACATAATTAGGCCATTGTCTGTCATAAAAAAAATCATTCCATTTTCAGCTACAGCTGAAAAGGTTGAATAGCATTTTAATTTTAATCAGGTTTTAAAATTTGGTTTTTAAAAGCAATTTTTAAAAAAATTTAAATTAGAAATTACATTTTAAGCTTAAAGTTACATCTGGGGTGTGCTGGTTTTAGTCTAGCTATCTGTATAATTAAGGTTAAGAGATTTTATGTAGTCCTGAGGAGATTAGTCAGAACTCAGTTGCTTTTCCTGAATTTTCCTATTCCTTAGATGTCACTTTTTGCTAGTCTATGGAGTCTTTTCCTTTTGCATACTTTCCCAAAGTCTTTAGTCTTTATTTACTTTCTAATGGTTGCAATTGTGCATTTAAATGGCTTCAGGCAAAACCAGATGTAAATATAGGGAATTTCAGGATTTGTGTATAAGAGCGCATAAGAAAGGAGAGGGGAGAGTAATTCTGATTCTCCATGTTGGTTATTTGAATTGAGGTGAAGGTGAAGAGTGGAGAAACCTAAGTACAAAGCTGTACACAAATTGTGATTAGCTGAGAAAAGATTGGAAAGGTCAGGACGGGTCAGATCATAAGACACCTGAAGGCTTTTTGGACTCTATCCTACTGAGATTTAACAAGGAGAGTGATCTGATTAGATTTGTACTGTATTCTCAAAGGATTACTATGTCAGTAGTATAGAGCGTGGCTTGTGGGAGATAGGCAATTCAAAATACAGTATCTTATCAGGCCAATTTCTCTGTTGTGGTACGAAAAACTGGGAATACTTTGCTCTAAATCCAAAGCAAAAGACTCTTACAGGAGAGCTTACTAAAGAGCACAGTTATTTCAGGAATCGGAGAGAAAAGAGGTCATGAATTTAAAAAGTAGAGAAACAAG